ATTCATGTTGCTAAGTATTTTATATCTACAATAATTATTATCTCCACTTTGGCACTGTGTCCACAAACTAAAATTGTAAGGCACTAGAGAAGGTGCAGTTTATCACATAATATGTTATCAACCAAAATAGTTTAAGACGAGTTCATAATAAAACAATATTGAATAATATGTAAATATTATTTTTATTCCACCTGCACATGAGTATTGCTGTGATCTATTTAAGTAAAATATTTAAAATGAATGGCCGCTTCATCACATTAAAGACTCTCAATTGAAATCGAAAATATCACTATTATACAAGAACTAGTCATGAAAATGGCCCACTCTTCGAGTGAGGTAATAATTGTTCTCGTGTAAAAACTCACACTGCTCTTCGTGTTTTTTACTCTCGAGGAACATATTATATCTTATACTCATCTTAGCCAGTCTATTGTAGGAAGTCGCTTGTACTTATTTTTTTCTTAAATAGGGTCGTGTACGGAAACTTACGAAAACCCATTATTTTGTACGTTTACAGCAATTTAATATAAATGAATAATAAGGATATTAGGATATATGTATAGGTAAATTATTAATGTATGGATAATTTTTTTAATATTTTAAATTACTTCACTCGATTTTTAATGGTAACATGACGATAACGCAATTAAGTAGGTACTCGACATATTTCCATCACCTGGCCCAAACCTTAATCTCCGTTATTATAGTAATTTTTATATAATATAAAGGGATGGGGGTAATTGATTATCATTATATTATTTTTTTTACGTCCAGCATACCGTACGAAATTGCTCAAACTAATTTGTTGTGTCGTATCGCGATTACCTGTAAATATTTTTAGGGTTTTTTTTTTCAAATCGGTTTTCTATGTATTTCAAGACCAAATTGATTAGTTGTGATCGCATTTCAAGTAAAACGTTTTTCCAAGGTTAGAACATAAATCATTTTGTAATGTTATTCAGATAATTTCCGATACTGCGTATTATTAATTTATTACAACTATTATAAGACTTTAATCGTAGGCACCTATATAAATTATACTATTTATTATTCAGCCATATTTCATGTTTTATGTATTTTCCAAACCCTACGAGGTTAAAATATTTTTTAATAATTATGGCGGCCACTGTTATCAGTCAAAAATTGTTTATATTCCTTCGATTACACATATTATTATGCATATAACTATATAATATAAGCAATATGGTTGACGAGCTACATAACAAAATAATCGTGGAACATGCGGAGAGACCTATTGATCTCCCTTTTTAGATTTTAGTGCACCGTATGAAAATGCAAATGTATAGCAGGTTAAATATTATACGTATTGCTCAGCGGTATGCATTTAAATTTTCGAAATAAAATTTCAATTTCAACCAGACGGCCCCCAAGCCACATTAAAACTGACTAACATACAGAAAACATGTACCTACGGTGAGATTATTATTTTTTCTAATTATTCCCGGCTCTGTAACCTTTACTTTTTTTTAAAATTAAGGATCTATAATATTTACCGGTATGGTTTATGTATAATGTAAAACATTTGCTTACTGAAGATCATATTTTTTGATTCATGAAAAAACTTCGTGATTCAATAGAACCGCATTAGCGAAACATTTTATGGTAATATTAGTGTTTCGTAATTTGTTAGTGGATGTGTAGGTAGGTAATTATATTATTATTCAATGATGCAAACTGCAAAATATTTCTGATGTGAGGAAATTATTGAACAAAAATGCACGCATCGCAAATTAAAAAGTGTTGGTTTCCTTATGTGGGTCATAGGGTTTTTTCTTATTTAAATTATTACGTGTGCCAATACATATCATTGGTACGTAGTACGTACGCATAAATATAAATGTAATTAATTACCTTGATTCGATTGGCACGCACGGACTGAAATTTATAATTATATTACATATTTGCTTCATTATTAATTTATTATTAAGGACAGATTTCCAATAAACGATGCACATTGAATCACGACTATTATGCGTTCTACTAAAAATATTTCAGACGATCTAATAAACTATTAGGTACATAATGAAACATAACAGAGTATATGATTAACATTGAAAAAATAACATTATAGAGACACAAGCCGACAATTTGCATTCCCAAAACTATCAGAAATAAATATTTACTTAGAAATAATTATAATTATTGTTGGATCAATTTTCATTTTGACACCGAAATTATGACGAAATTACAAATTAAATATACTTCATTACATTCAATATTGATTCCCATTTTAAAAGCAAAGCTTGAGCTGAAATGTGAGTTCATCATAGTACTTCAATTGTTTTAATTAAGATGCTATAAAATATAAAAATAATTATTAGCAATAATTACAATAGTATTTAAATATACGATTATATGAATCATTGACATGCTTCTTATAATTATTATGTGTAATATGTTTTAAATTTTGAAGTATATGATTGTAATAATTTACAAATTGTTACACGTAACTACATCAATTGGGCTTTCCAAAGTAATAGAACAAAAACAGATTTAATATTCAATATTTCCTTACTTCTAGACCCTAGTATTATATTTATGATAACATTTTTTATGTCATCGAATTTAATAAAGTACATGTAAAGTAGAATATTTTACAAAAAAAAAATAGAATTTAAATCAACAGACAGGTTCGGATTTAAGAGAATAAACTGAATTAAGTCTACGTCAATGTAAAATTATTTTAAACAAGTTATTTTAAGTTGTGCTTAGTGGGTAAAGGTGATCTCTTCGAAAGTTGATCCTAAAATATATATTCTATGGCTAATTATAGAGCAAGCTAGTGCAATGCAAATTTTCCCAGTATCATGAGGTTTAAGAATTATTTTTTAATATTTTAAATTTAATAAATAATTGTCTAATAAGAATAAAAATATTGTGTATGTGCCCTTCCGTTTAGACTATGGCCGAAGATATGACTAAATAATATTATATTTTGGAAACATTTTCAAGTATCCAGTATTAATTATATTTATACGCATATTATTTTAAGTATATGTCAATTTGTAGCTTATATCTTTTTTACATAAAAAATTGTAGCTTTGATCAGTGACGTCCTTCAAAGGTACTTAATAGAATTATTTAAACTAAAAAATATAGATTTAGATTTATTTACATTATAAGTTCAAAAAAATTGTTTGGCTCTAATAATGTCGTTGACACATCAAGAGGACGTCATACCAATATGTGTTGCTCAGTCTTACAAACGTACAACATAACATATTTTAAGTTGTCAATAATCAGTTTTACTATGTTATTTTTACAGTTAGAGTAAATTTACCCATTTTATAATTTAATGGTATGATTATTATTTAGAACACTGCTGAGGATTTCATCGATATTATTATTTTTAAGTAAGTTAAGATCATTTTTAATAAATGTTTCAATAACAGTCTTCTAGATGCCCTGGATAATAATCTCGCCTTTAAATCTCATAACGGGCCAATTCACTGTAATTTTAGAATTTACGGGTTAAAATGCGTTATTGTGAACTTACAGTTTGCGTTTGTAATACGGACACAACACATTCGGGATTTTCGACCTCATGACGTTTAGCTGAATTTGTGTGGACTGTGTCGATGTTATCGTATTACCGTCTATGATTTATCTTTGGCAGATTAAATAGCATTCGGTCACAGAGTGTTATGATATAAGTTTCCAGGTCTTGTCATCATAGCAGTCAACTGTATAGGAGCCATTTGGGTATTTGTTACTATGAATCGTGACTATACACGATGACAATACAATTAGGCAAGTATGGAGGAAATGTTGACGAACATTGGTATTTACTATTTTGCAATGTTCGATCGTTCGATTATCATCGATACATTAATGCATCCGGTAGGACTTATACCTACAGCATACGTGCACGTAAATGACTCAAGTAGTCGAGTCCAGAATTGTAAAATTCGTGTTCAATGCGCTATGCTCGCCATTCCGACAATAATAATAATAATAATAATAATAATAATAATAATAGAATGATAAATGTGTTATGAGTAATAATATAATGTCTTTATTACGAGTGCGCACAACAATAGGTCAAATGCGGTGGGTATAAGTACCTAGATATGCATTATTATTGTTATTATTATCTGTGAGCCATTATTTCTGGAAATTCCAAATCCAAGGACTGCGTCGTGTATTTCGTAACAAAATAATGTATACCGGTATGCGCTCACACGGGCAACGTGTGACAGATTGCTCGTCGAGAAAATGATTATTATTTCGTGTACCTACGAAGTTCAGTCCGATTTCCCGTCCGATCGTGTTTCCGCGACGACGACGACGATGATGATAGTAAGGGTGATTTGCAAACTCCGCCAGAATACCGGTTAGATAAAAAGGTAATGAAAAGGCAAGGTTTATAGATAATAAAGGTTGCCTCATAGTCACGTAAACAAAGCATTCCCCCCGCAGCGTCTTATTACGCATGACGTCATCCGTAGGAGAGTTTCGCGGGCGGCTGTTGTGTCGTATGTACATACAATGCTTAATATTCATACTTACTGCTATACTTGTCTGCTAATTAATGTGAATTTGTGTTTTACATGTGTTTATTACTACTTATTAGTGTACCTACCTATAATATTTTAATCATATTATATTAAAATATTTTCTGTTTAAGATAGTAGAAACCTATAGTATTATGTATGTATTCCAAGCATACTATTCATAATAATATACTCCATACAATTTACAAATAAAGTGTTGACTTATTATAAACAATTGTAAATTGTAATTATTACTAAATGAGTAAAACTTTAAACCCAATATTAAAATATGATAATTTAAATACTTTAAATTTATTGTATACCAATCCTCATATCAATATAAAGTAATTTTTAAAATTTTCAGTTTTCTCATTAATGAGAAATATATTCCAAGTCATAATCAATAATATTATTATTTATTAGCAATTTATTTTAGTATATTATAATAAATAATTTTACAGATACAATATATTTTATAATTGAAAAATAAAAAAAAATATTATAATCATTATTCAGGTAGGTTTGGCTAATATATATATTTCAGTCTCAAGTCATTAATTTTCTTAATTTCACTATTCTGCTTAGTTGAGCTTTTGCTTTTCTTTTTTTAGCTAATGATACTGCATGTTGGTTGTAATATTTCATTCGGATCAACAATCTTTGTTTTACATAAGACTGAATTACAGGTTTATATTTTTGTTCAATTTCAGTTCTTTTGAAAATCCTATCTGTTAGCCTTTTAACTACTCCTGATCCTTTAGGGATAAGTTTTTTATAATCTACAAGAGGCTCTTCAAGTGATAAAATCTTATCTTTCTGCTTGTCATTTTCAACTTTCAATTCATTGTGTGTTCTCAAAAGGTCATTGTATAATTGTTCATAATCCATATTTAAAGGTGATTTATCTGGAAATGGAATAGAGTCCGCATTGATTGTAGAAGAAATTTCAATTGATGGTGACAGAGAATCTGGTGAAGTAGAAGTAATGCTGGATAAAATTAGTTCATCATGTACCTATAAAAAACATACAAACATTCAAAATTAATATAATTTTAACTATACTATGGTTTATGGTAATTAATTGTTTTAATTGTATACAATATACTATGATATATATTCTGCCATATTTATTAGGTATACAATATTTTTATTTATTTGGATACCTACCGTAATGGAAATATTTTACAATTACAAATAAATTAAATATCTACTTATTAATATTTACATTTTGTTATAATTGTACAAATATTAAACATTAAAAATGTACCTGTTTCATTGATTTAGCTTCAATTCTCTTATTTCGATTGATCGCTGAAGAAGAAGTTACACTTTGTGAATGATCCGGTGGTAAATATAAAGTTGGGACTGCATCAGGTTTCAACAAACGAACTTTAGGAGTGTATCCTAAGTGTTTTTGAAAAAATAAATTATTATTAAACATTTATATAATATATCAAATATATTATTTTTGACTACCAATAAAAAATTACAAATAATTACCTAAAAGTTCTGCTTTCAAATCTCGAACGAAAGAATCTTGGGTAAAATGTTTAGAACAAACCAACGATGTCTTAGGATTCCACTTATCACCTCGCCGACATTTATGTTCCCACATATTATAGATCTCAACATTCTTTATTGGGAACCTATACATAATTCATAATTTTAAAATTTAAATTAATATCACTATTAAAGATCCCTACATTATTTCATTGAGTAAAAACATTTTATACTTGGGGACCTACAATTAATGTCAAAAATTTCAAGATTTATTTATACATGTTAATAATTTAATAAAGTACAATAATATTTTAAATATAATAGTCTGTTAACACAAAATGCTTCTTTGATTTTTAGTAGCTACCTATCTGATGTAAAAAATTATAAGATTATTATTGGATAGTTTTCTTTTAACTATAAAAATTGAAGTTTTGTTGTCATCAAAATAAGCTACCTATATATTTTTCGTTATACATATTTAATACAATAATGCCCTATTGGCAAAAATTACAGTAAAAGTAAGTACCTACCTGTGAAATGATATGTCGAATCCTTGCTGTTTAGTTTTGCTAGCATAATGCTTACACGTCGCTACTGCACAAGATGATCCCCCTGAGTGTTTTCTTTTCGAATTTGTAGACATAATATCCAATGAATTATTGTATTCAAATAGATATTATCGATAGACATATAACTTGCGAAAAAGAATATGAAAACAATGAATTACAAAACTCGTAAAAACGCATGTGAAAAGTGAAAACAATTTAATATTTTACTGTAGTCTGTAATACTGTATTCACTATTGTAAACAAATGTCTCCTACGGGTGACGTCACGTTCCGATTTCTCCCACTCCTGCTTTTTGATATTTTCAATATGAGGCAACCTTTATTATCTATAAACCTTGATGAAAAGGTCCAATATGTAAACTCCGCCATTTTTGTTTTGTAACCTGTAATGGATATATGGATACTCCGCCAGTGCTTATGTAAAACTTAATAATATATTGTCTCAACTAAAGAAGCTCAAAAACCCAAAATGATGGCGTTACAGAACGCTATAAATAGTTATTATAATCTATTCATACTAGACTGAGATATCAGGATATCTACAAATTGTATCAATCATAATTTTAGTTGACAGTTCCACATATTATATAGCATAACATACGTAGGTTGCTAGATACATATTTTATGATTATTACGATTATTTATTATGTTAATACACATGACAATTTGGATGATTGGTTCGGACAATTATTATTATTTTTATTAATTTTTGTATATTTTTTGGGATATTATAATAATGTACCAGACATCTGTTCTTTATATGCATATTAATTTTATACTGTAACTTGATTTTCTCTAGTGACAAAGTTTACACGAACTTAATTTTACTTGATTTTTTTTTCACAGGCAGAAGAGTTCACATCAACCCAATTTTACCTGTTTTTTTCCTGGCGGGGCTTACACTAAAAAAAGGTACTTAAGGCGAAGTTTACATGCGCCGGATAATAATATGTCATATCGGCTACGATAAGACTACGGCGTGTGTTACGACAAATGACGTGTTTGGCATTGAACCGTGTCCCGTCCCGGACTTCCGTCATACAACGCGTATATTAATGTCGTTCAGATGTTTGCGTTATAATTAGGTATTACTGTGGACGACTAAATTTTCCGGAAAATCATCGGCAGCTGCCGGTTTCTTCGACTCGTCGTGTGACCGGGTGTTTTCGAATGATCGTCGTGAACACAATATTTTCATTCCTCCTTTACGCCCCGATAATTTTGGACCGGTTCCGGTCTGCTAAGCGATCACCGCTTTCGCGCGGGTGCGATATCAAAATACAGTGCTTAATAAAATATATTAACCGCGGCGGAAGAAGAGACGATTTTATGGGAAATCTTACGCAGCGTCGGTACACAGACGCACACAGACGCGCGCGCGCGCGCGCACACACACACACACACACACACACACACACACACACACACACACACACACACACACACACACACACACCTGTGGACGATGCTCCGGTATTTGTAAGCCTGCAGTTTGTGTGTTAAGAAACACGTCCGTTAAGTATAATTTCGGAGGTACCTCCTATATCAGGTGCGTGTATACGCATATGGCATATATATATTGTATACGTATTATAATAATATGTATTATTATAATAAAAATATGGGTACTCGGCACACAATGACCCATTCTGAGAGAGATGTCTGAATTTGTTTTCACGGTATTCCTGGGATGACTGTTCAGCATTCACTTCATCAGACGTCCAAGAAGCTAACGAGGCCGTTATTATGAGCATTACAATAGTTATTTTTATAAATAGTTCACATCATTCCGGTGGCTATAAGATTTGTTATTCTCATCTCGTAATAACAGTGTATATATATATATATATATATATATACATAAGTATTATTGTATCCTTATTATGTACCGGCTTGAGTATATATATATAATTTACATATATATATATATATACATAGGTACTCTCGCAGGAACTCTACACTTCGGTAAAGCCACTTTTCCGTGTATATATATGCATTGAGAACGTCAACCCGTAACTATATCATCAACACATCTATATTATTTAAAGTATCAAATAATAAATAGGTGCATAGGCGTACGATATGCTTGGTAAATGGGTAACGAATCCTACCTCTGACGCAGCGGTGTGTGTGAGTGAAGGGGGAGAGGAGGGGGGGGGGGTTAAGGGTTAGAAACGCCCATGATCTTGATGGTATACTATTACAATAATGAATATTATATGATATGATGTAGGTGAATTGTATATTACAGGTTTTGTTTTTTCGTTATTTGCTCAGTACCTGTACCTAGTTAGAATCAAAGACTTAAACGCCATCTCCTGCAACCCTCATCCCAGCACATTTCTTGGAAATCCTTTACGATACATATATAACACCGATGTTTCCATACTCTATACATCATCAGCAGTTCTCAATATTTTTATATTATTTGTAATTTTTTACGTACCACTCTTACAGTTTGGAAATTTTCATGTATCACTCGACCAAATTAACTTTTTAATAAACTACTTATTTTCCAAACTGCTAAATTGTGACAAAATAATCATTTAATGCACAAAGATAAAATGCGATATGCACAAATGTATAGTTTATAATATTATGAACGTCAAATAAATCAAATAATATTTAGGTTATATTTTTTTATATAGAGGGAGATTTTCACACTCGTGAGCTTTCCGCGTACCGCTTGGCGCTTGTGGTATTCATACCACACGTTGAGAATCGCTGCTATACACCTACACTGCGCATAGGTATAAGTTACGCCACACTAAATAACACCTACTGTGTGGAATTAGGTACTTCTTATAGGTACTATCGATTTTCGAATCGACGAAAAAAAAAAATGAATTTTATTTTCAATACCACACTACAGAGATATTTAATAATCACCCATCTCTAAGTAAACACCATTATGTCAATAATAATTTATTATAACAAGACCGGTTGCTATACGCGTATTATTATTATAATTTTAACGTAATTATTGATCAATTTTGAACTCTTAAGAGCGCGTTTAACGTGTGTATATTATAGGTACAACACGAAGAGGCTACGTTGAAAAAAAAAAAATGATTTTTGAACATTATTTCTATTTTCTACAATATACCTACTAATATACTCGGAGGAGACACATCATGTTATTAATATAAGACTCTTATTATATTCACTTTCGGTTCTCTATAATATATTGTACGAAGACTCGGCAAAAGGATTTCGGTTTTTCTACCGAACACGATGTAACTTACTAGCGGGGCATAATTACTCGGGTAGCTGTTATAATTAACTCTCTCCGATCCGATCAGCGATTATTACCACTAAAAGGGCGGAGTGGTAACACTCACTGTGCATACACTCCGGCGGAATGCCTACGAGAGGAGAGTCGTGTGTATATATGGAAAATGATGAAGAAATAACGTTCAGCCCACTACCTATACATGGGTGGGAACCGCTACTGCAGCAGTACCACGCGGGACCCAGGTGTTGTCCGCGTTCAACCCCGACAAAAAAAAGTAATGAAATAAATTTAAAAAAAAAAACGTTTAACACGATCGTATCTATAAAATCTTTACCGTGCATTATTATATTATTTTAAAAAAGAGTTAAGTTTTCAAACGACGGAGGATTCTCGGGGTGACGTGAGCCACCATATGGCCGACGCACTCAATTATTATTGTACATCAAATCCGGAGCGATATTGCCCCATAATAGCTGCTAACCCTTTATATAGGCTCCATAAATCGTAGCCGCAGCCGGAACCGTAAATCAAAGGAAGTTAATATTTTTTTTTTTTTTTTTTTTTAGTCTATGAGCATATAATATAATAATATGGTGTAAAAAACCGGAGAAATACGGCAACGTTGTGCACGGTCATAGCATATTTTTATTTAGCTTTTAGTCACAATTAGTCCGTCAGGAGTCGCTATAAAAAAGTCACTTTCGGAGAGATTTATATTACGGCACGCCCGTGTATATTGTACAGGATCAATATATTAAAAAACAGCCCCCGTACTCCACTTGTACAAGTTGCTGCAGCCACCTGGATGAGAACTCATAATATATTTCATGAATGCGTCAACGATTTAATCAGCAGAATACTGTAAAATAAATATCGAAAGACAAACGTAGGCAAGAAAGTAACAACAAATAATAATAATAATGTAACTTACAAATTAAGAATACCGAAATTCTACTATGATATATAGTATGTTGCGGACGACCCTCATCAGACATACTATGGTCAAAGTGGTCTTAAGCCCCCCCCCCCCCAAATGATCGGTCTCTAACATGTCGGAAATTTCATTAGGTATACAGACTTTAAATACATTTTATCATAAACACATTATCAAATGTACCTAACTAAGATCGTGATTACTCGGATTTCTGTACATGTTTAAAAATAAAATAATACTATATTTCTATTTAAAAACAATTTTATTTAGCCCCCCCCCCCTGAGAAAAAAAACAAAGATAAAAATCCGAGGTGCGATCTTGATACGAACAAGATCATTATTATATTGTCATCGTTGATAGTTAGACGTTTTAATATACGTATATTTAACACGACGAGATTGTCCGAAAAAAGTGCGTACACCACAGCTCCGTCTTTCTCTCTGATAATATTCTATAATAATATAATAATTAAACGAAATATCAATCATTCGACCTTTCCACATGTGAGGATGACGTTAACATCAAACACGCCGAATGCCGACGCTCAGGACGGAGACAACCCAAAAAAGCTCTCGGGATCATTGCCCGAATCGCTCAATAAGGACACCTCCGACGCCATCGAATTCGCTGACAATTTGCAGTTTACACGACTGATCATTAACTCGATTATAATATCACTCAATGTATGTGTATTTGTTAACGCACTTAACGGTGTATGATGTGTAGACCTGCACATGCAAACAGGTATCTGCAAGTCGCTTTCGACGGAGATTGCTGCTGCAGAAGGTGTCTAAAAAAAAAAAAAATACAAATATTATGTTATATTGTACAGGTATAATATTACGTACGAGTCTCGTGGAGATTTAAAAGCTTTTATTTACAGTATACAATATATGCAACACACTTGTACATGCATGCTCACTTCCATTTTTCTTCGACAATGCAGTTATTCGAAATGATATGATTTTTGAAATTTTCGAACACACTTAAGACCATATTTTGAATTTTAAAAATCTTGAGATTCCTTGTACTACACGAAGAGTGTTCTGTGGTGTTACGAACTTCGGTTTTTAAATTGAAAACCCGCTTTTCTATTTTAA